CAAAGGAAGCCATTGGGAAGTGAATGCTACATCTATTCAGGAAACAGGATGCCTTCACGTGTTGAAGCTTTTGAACATTTAGACTTATTTTAGTACTAATTATGCTTTGGATTTGGAATGAACCTTTTATATTCCTAGTTTTTCTAGGATTTAATTTCAGTTTCTAAACTTGTATCTTGTGGATACTCTTTCAACTTTTATGGTAGTTCTTTTAATTTAATTAAGAACTCATCTATTGTTGGAAATGATACTTTGGTTGATGTTTGTTTAAAATTCATTTAAGTGATAATGTTCCTTATAGTCTTATGACTTCACATGCTAACACTATTGAAACGTAATGTATGAAAACTCTTCTTTTTTGTGACATAGAAGATTAGGACACATCTCCATTGATAGGATTAAAGGTTGTAAATGCTGGAGTTCTTGAAACTCTTGACTTTACTGACTTTGATACTTGTGTAGACGGTATTAAGGGAAAGCAGACTAACAAATCCAAGAAGGGTGTCAGGAAGAGTTCTAAACTTTTAGAAATCATACACACAGATTTGTTGCCCTGACATGAGCTCTAGTGGTCAGAAATATTTCATCACCTTTATTGATGATTACTCACGATATATGTACTCTATTTGCTTTATCACAAGATGAAGCGTTGGATGCTTTCAAAATATATAAAGCAGAAGTGAGAAACAATGTGGAAAACAATTAGATCGTGAGATCTGATAGAGGTGTGAATATTATGGTAGATACACTGATACAGGACAAGCACTTGGTCCATTTGCTAAATTTCTTCAAGAGTAAGGTATTGTGGCTCAGTACACCTTGCCTGGCACACCATCTCAGAATGGTGTAGCAGAAATGAGAAATAGAACATTAATGGATATGGTACGGAGTATGCTGAGTAACTCCAAACTTCCTCATTCTTGTGGACTGAAGCTCTCAAAACTGCAGCGTATATATTAAACCGAGTTCCAACTAAGGCGGTTCCCAAAATGCCATTCGAATTATGGAAGGGTTGGAAACCAAGTTTAAGTCATTTACGCATCTGGGGTTGCAGTTAGTTAGAGTTTATAATCCACAAGAACGAAGTTAGATCCTAAGACTATCAGTGCATATTTTATTGATATGCGGAAAAATCCAAGGGATATAATTTTATTGTCCGAACCATTCCAGTAGAATTGTTGAATCAAGAAATGCCAATTTCTTGAAAATGATGTGGTTAGTGGGAGTGATCAAATCAGAGACTCAGTCCTTGAGAAAATTGATGTTTTAGACAATGCTTCTACATTAGTAAAAGATTGGTTGTTCATCCAACAGGGTGAATAATGAGGAACCATTTAATCAAAATCCACATTCTGATGAGATTGTTTTAGAAGATCATTTTGAACAACCTCCGATACAGGAGGAACAACTAGTTGTGCAACAGTCTCACAAGAGACTGTTTGATACAACATTAAGGAGATCTACTAGAACAAAGAGATCAGCAATTCCTATGATTATGAAGTGTATATGCAAGAGTTTGACTGTGACATAGGTATTGAGGATGATCCAGACACGTTTTTGCAAGCTATGAACACGTAGTAAATCTAAGTTACGGTTAATGCCATGATAGACGAGATGAATTCTATGGCGGATAATGAAGTTTGGGACCTTGTGAGTTGCCTACTGGAAAGAAACCTATTGTGTTAATGAGTATTTAAAACCAAAAGGATTCATTAGGCAACATTGAGAGATACAAGGCTAGACTTGTTGCCAAGGGGTTCACACAAAGGGAAGAATAGATTATAAGGAAACCTTTTCTCCAGTTTCTAAAAGGATTCCTTCGTATCATAATGGCATTAGTTGCCCATTTCATTTAGATTTACATCAAATGGATGTGAAAACAGCTTTTCTCAATGGATGTTGGAGAAAATGTTTATATGAAACACACCTGATGGTTCATTTCAAGTGATGGTGAGCATTTGTTTTGCAAGCTTAAGAAGTCTATTTATGGACTTAACAAGCCTCCCGACAGTGGTATTTAAGATTCACACTGTTATCTCTTCATTTGGTTTTGTAGAGAATGTCATGGATCAGTGTATATACCATAAGGTCAGTGGGAGTAATCATCTTTCTTGTGTTATATGTAGATGATATTCTACTTGCAACCAATGATTTGAGTTTGCTACATGAGTGAAACAATTTCTCTCTCACATTAGTATGAAGGATATGGGTGAGGCGTCTTATGTCATTGGCATTAAGATTCATAGGGATAGGTCTCACATGTTTTGGGACTATCTCAGGAAGCCTATATTATAAAATTCTTGAGAGATTTAAATGAAAGATTGTTCACCCAATGTTGCACCCATTGTTAAGGGTGACAGGTTCAATCTGAACCAATGTCCTACACTTGAGATTGAAAAGGAACAAATGAAAACTATTCCTTATGCTTCAGCTATTGGAAGCCTAATGTATGCTCAAGTCTATACTAGACTTGACATCGCTTTTGTAGTTGACATGTTAGGAAGATATCAAAGTAATCCAGGTTTGGATCATTAAGAGCTGCAAGAAGGTCATAGGTATCTTCAAGGAACTAAAGGTTTCATGCTTACTATAGACGATCCACATTTTAGAAGTCGTCGGATATTTAGACTCAGACTTCGCTGGTTGCGTTGATTCTCGAAAATCAACATCGGATATGTTTTTATGCTTGCCGGAGTGCTATATCTTGGAGAAGTGCCAAACAATCTTTAGTTGCCACTTCTACCATGGAAGCTGAGTTTGTTTCCTGTTTTGAGGCAACTACACAGGGTATTTGGTTGAGAAGTTTCATTTCTGGGCTTGGAGTTGTTGAGTCTATCTCTAGGCCAATAAAGCTATATTGTGACAATTCAACTGCTGTATTCTTTGCTAAGAATAATAGAGTGGAAGTCGAAGTAAACACATCGATATTAAGTACTTAGCAATAAGGGCACGTTAAGCCAAAGAAGTGCTCATTAACACCATACTACCGAGCAGATGATTGCTGATCCTCTAACAAAGGCATGCCACCAAAGACGTTCAAGGATCATGTTGTTCAAATGGGATTATGTCCTGCTTTGTCACTATGAGAGGTAATACTTTCATTGTCTGAAACTTTGTAATTTAGTTTGTTTCTCTTTTAAGTTGTATACATTTTGGTTGGAGACAAACGAACATTCTAGAGGACCTAGCACAACATTTGAGGTTTGTTCATAAAGTGATATTCCACATTTAAGCGTTTATTTAGAAAGAGAAAATTGCATTGTAATACATGGAAGGTAATACTTGTTTAAAAGGGACTTACCGCTATGATTTATGTAATTTCCCCTTTCTAATTGAACATACCGCATATCATCTCTTTTGTTCTGGATTATATTATACAAGTTTGGACCAAGTGGGAGAATGTTAGACTTTTCGCATATGGTCCTACACTTTCATATAATACATTTTGGTCCTACTGATTAGACTGATGTGGTCATACGGTTGTGTCTCTGAGCATTGTCTTTGATGGAAAGACAACTGCATATAAGAAGGAGACTTTACAGGTCCCCATGTGACACAATTTTTATTTTAGTTTCAAAACCATCACTTTAAAATTGCAGTTAGTGGAAGATCCTATAATTTTTAAAGAAGCAAGAAGATCAAACACACATTGCTATGGCTGGAGGTTTTCCATTTGCTTCCGCATATTTCCATGGAGATTTTATTTGAAATTGATTGTATTATCACTTTTATATGAATATTGGAATATGAATGTATTTTACATAGATATGACTCCCGTATCAGCGATGACTCTAGCCTTCACTACAATGCAAAGGTGAGTGAAGTTTGTGAAGATGGAATTTGGAAATGGCCTCCGGCAAGTTCTTGTGATCTTCTTGATGTCCAAATAATGTGGACTTCTTACCTTTGGGCAATGAAGACAAAGTAAATGGCAACCAAGCCCTTCGAGTTGCTATCAATCAAATCGGCTTGGGATGTGTTAGACGTCATGGGAGCCAAGTGACTTGGCATCATCTAGTTTGGTTCCCTAAGCAATCCCAAGACACTCCCTTATACTTGATGCATGCAAAAATCGCCTCTCCCAAAGACAAACTTGTGAGGTATGGTGTCATTTCTAGTGATGTTTGTTGTTTTTGTAATTCAAACCAGAAACTTTGGACCACCTATTTTTCGCTTGTCCTCCACAAAGAATATTTAGAGCAAATCCTTGAGTTGAGTTCTATGGGATATGTTTTAAACCTTGGCTTGAGTATATTGATAACCTCTGTAAGATGAAGGCAAGGGTTGAAATATATTATTGGAAACTTTGTTTGGGGCCACTATTTATTTCTTTGGAAGGAAAGAAACATTAGAGTTTTTGGGGAGGATATTGCCCTAAAAATTCATAATATGATAAGGAACTTAGTTAGGGATAGGGCTAGGGATATTACCAAAGTACACTCAATGGACATAGGAGACTTCTAGTTCTTCGGGTTTACCTATGGCCATTTTGAACCTTAATTGGATTAAACTCCTTTCTTCTTTGTAGGTTTGCTTCTCATGCCTGGATTTGGGCCTTCTGGTTATAGTATTGTCATTGTAAATCATATGCCTATTGTTTTGTTTTGTTGGGTTGGTTTGTCCTATGGTAAGATGGTTCTTTTTTGTTTTGGTTGGTCTTCCTTGATTCTAATCCCTTGCCAACGGATTGGAAAAAGCAAAGATTGTTTAGGCTTAGGCTATTCTTTTGTTCCTAAACTGGGGCATGTCTGAGGTAGGATGATCCGCTTTTAAGGCCTTTGTATATTCTTTCACTTCTATATTAAAGCACTTAACAACGCACGCCGCGCCCGAACCCCCCCCCCCCCACCCCCCCCCCCCAAAAAAAAAAAAAATTTGAGGTGGAGGAAAGGTAAATGTCTAATTAGCCCTTCTTTGGTGAGATTGTCGATTTTTCTACAAGAAGCCCAAAATCAGAATCCAAGTTTAACCGTATGTAACCTTGGGTGATTTGTACACGATTTCGGTACGATGCAATTAAGAAGTCCACGGAAATTCGAGCAACAAAATCGATAGGAAGTCCCTCTACGCACACGCACGCTGAGAATGAGAAAGCGCACCGTTTACGCATGGAGCGTGGCGATTATCTGCTTCATTGTGCTGATGATCGTCACGCCTGCCATCCCTCAGTCTCAAGAATATCACGATTTCGCTGACCAACGCGAGTTCTTTGGTATCTCTTCTCGCTTTCTCATAGATTTTTAGATAATTTTTCGAATTTTAAAGAGTTTATTCTATTGAATTGACTGAATTGTTCTCTAATGTTAATTTCAGGTATACCTAATACTCTAAATGTCGTTTCCAATTTTCCCTTTCTTGTTATTGGTCTCATCGGGCTAGTGCTCTGCTATCATGGCAATTATTTTAAGCTAAGGTATTCTCAATTAGATAATTTTTATTAGATTGCGTGGGTCTGTTTTTAATTAGGCTACTCTTAGGGTAATTTGATTGAAAATTTAACCAATTACAATAATATCAGAAGCAGGAAGAGTGATATTTTTTGTTTTATGGTTATTGATTTTGAAATTTATATATTTTGGACTTGAAAAGCTTGCAAGGTGAGCTTTGGGGTTGGACATGTTTTTTCATTGGCGTGGCAGCGGTTGGTATTGGATCATCATACTATCATCTCAAGCCTAATGATGCTCGTCTTGTGTGGGATCGGTTGCCTGTGAGTTTTATTGTTCTTGCTATGAATGGGGAGTTAGTTTTTGTTATATTGGTTTTGGTTCCTTATGTTTGCATATGTTCTTTTGTGGAAATTGTAGATGACAATTGCTTTCACGTCGATAATTGCGATTTTTATCATTGAAAGGATTGATGAGCAGAAGGGAACTGTGTCACTTATACCTCTAGTTTTGGCTGGTGTAGTTAGCATTTTGTATTGGAGGTGAGAATGCTGCTTCTTTAGTTTTTAGTGGTCACTATCAGCTATTTATTTATATACTATTACCATGGTTGTTGTGATCTGGCTTTTGTGTTGCATGGTTTAGGCATTAAATTAGTGAAAGTATTTTCTTGTACAAAAAGAATTAGAGGTTTTGCTGCTGTGCACTGATTTAGTGCTCTTGTACAGCTGTTAGAGTATCTCTAATGGTGATCTTTATTTTAAAAAGCATATTTCACATAAATAAAGAGCATCTTCATTAATTTTTAAATATAAAGAACAAAATTTGTATTCAAATCTAATGGACTCTTTAAATTAGACTTAATGAATAAGAGAAAGACTTAATAGGAGAGAGAATTAATAATAAAATGTATAAAAACTTGTAATTTATTAAATAAAATTGGGACAGAGAGTGAAATTTGACTCTTTAGATGTAGAGAGCTAAACTCACTCTTTAATTTATATTTAAAGAATAAAAAGTCTATTAGACTCTTGTTTTTATGGACAAATTCTTTATAATAAAGAGTTTGGATCATATAAAGAGTCCTTTGGAGATACTCTTAAAACCATGGTTTGAAGTTGGAATTGTCATATATGGTTTGTATAGTGTTGTGACAAGTTGATTTTGATATCTATGCTTTTATTGATGTAAAAGTTTTGATGGGTTAAACATTGGTGGAGATTATTGTGATAGACAGTCCCTATTGACCAAATTTGCCTAATTATGCTGTGTTTTCCTCTGCAGGTTTTTTGATGACCTGAGGCCGTATGCTTTGGTCCAGTTTGTTCCTTGTATTGCCATTCCTCTGATGGCTATATTGTTGCCTCCAATGTACACACATTCCTCTTACTGGCTTTGGGCAGCAGGTTCTTGCTTTTCATCTTGCGGGTTCCTCTCTCATTTTTCTGGCAGTATTGTGGTTCTTTCGCATTACTGACTCTGAATTCAATCTCATAATTGCAGCATTTTATCTTTTAGCTAAGGTAGAAGAAGCAGCAGATAAACCAATATATAGATGGACTCATCACATTGTCAGTGGCCACACTCTTAAGCATCTGTGTGCTGCAATGGTTCCTGTCTTCTTGACACTCATGCTTGCAAAGAGAAGTATTGAAACACAAAGGTATTTTATTTATTTATTTTGTTGTGACCGTATGACTTCTACCCTGAAACTTCAATGTTTCATTGGAATGATGTAGAGAGAGAAATTTTTCAATGAATGATTAAATGATTAAACATAAAAAGGGATATGTCCTTGCTAAAAGGCCACTTTGACATTACTCCCTTTGATCAGGTTTCCTTGGCAGTGTATGTTACTGAATGCATTTCATATATTTTAGTTTATATTAGTAGTCATATGCCTTTTTAAAAAATTTACAATATTCCCCCATTAAGTACCAATTACTATTCTTTGTATGTTAACCAAGGTTGATGGTAGTGCAAATTGAGGGATATGTTGCTCTTTAGGTTTTTTCTTTTTTTTTTTTTTTTAAAGAAAAAAAAAAAACTTTTTGATGAATATATGAGTTGCAGTAGTAGATTTGTCCTATGAACTTATGGTTCAGCGCCATAAACTTCTATGCTTATTGTGGGTCTCTCTCTTAGACTCTCCCTGGCCAATGTCTTTCTGTCCCTAATACTGCTGCCTGTCTCTAGTGCATATTTTTTTTGCTACTAGTATAGGATATTTATAATGTAAAATCATGGTTTAGATAAATATGTTACTGCTAAATTGATCTTGGATCAGGAATTAGTGAAACATGTAAACTTATTTGTTATGTTGAGTCTATAGTATCCAGAAACCTTGAAGTACCTAGTTGAAGTGCAAACAAATTTATTGTCTGTGTTGTACTTATTGACCTTCTGCTCAATCATTCTGAAAATGGTGAATCTTCATAAACTGAGTTTTCAAAAGGCTGTGACACCATGGAGAACTCACTCTTATGTTTCCTCTTTTTTAAATAAAAATTCAACACTTGGTTAGAATATTGGTTTAAAACAGAAAAAAGAAAAAGCATATAAGTTACCTTTGGTTCCCCAAGAACTTATTATTTATCCTACCTCCTGGTGGTTCCAACCATGCTTATGTAAGTTTTAAGGTATTTGGCAAGGAAATTGGGAGCCTACAACATTAATAAGAATTTGAGCCTACTCTACTATCAAATCTCATGGTCTTATGTTGCTATCATTGCATTGTGAGTAGACATTGGCACATTGGTTCCCTCGTGTACTACATCATAGAGGGAGGGTCCATGATAATTCTTGCTATAACTAAATTAACTTGCACCCAAGAATTCTAAGCTCTATGCAACTGAAGGAGGTTGTAATCTAAAGAATGGTGGTAAGTATGACAAAAGGCTAATTGAGGAGAAATATTATGGGATTGATGTTTTAAGTCTAAAAGCGGGCAAGACAGGGGAATCAAGAATTAAGATATTGGGTGAATGAAGTGGAAGTAGTTACATTAGTCTATTGTTTATAACATTGAAAACAACGATGAAGAAACGATGAAGACATCACAGAATCAAGTGTGTGAGAGTTTCAGATTTCTAACGTTGCAGCAAATAGCCTGGCAACATTTTGCCCTCATGGAGACTGTATACACGTGGAAAATTCAGCATGTCTTGATAGGTCTTGGATTGTGATATAATATTAGAAGTTTGTGTATTTTTCTTAACAATGAAGATTGGCTCACAATCCAATCTCACAAATTCTCTCTTACAACTCTGATGTTGTAGCTTTTAATTGGTTAGACAGAAAAATTTATTAGAAACCAATTGTGAGTTGTTACGTCGAAATTATGAGAGAAAAGTTATGAGATTGGGTTTTAAGTGTAGTATTGCACTTTTCTTAAATTTCTTTTATTTGATAAATGATCATTAAAAGAGTCTAAGTGTTTTATTGGCACTCACTTGGAGGAGATGATGAATAGTAGATAATGCATAGATATTAAGATCTGTATCATGATAAATCTATATAGTGAGATATTATGATTATTTTATCATTATATGCTGGGATAGCTTTACTATATGGTTTTTGAATTGAGCAAATTTTGAGTTTCAAGTGCTGATGTCATTTTAGATTTCAAGATCCTTTCAGATGATACTCTGCTATACAACTGTAGGCATTAACCTTAACTACTGGCTTACAGAAATTTCATGAAATGAAAATATGAGATGCATTTCTTTTTTGGCAAGAATGACATGAAAATTGTATTTTAGATTTTAAAGATACTTCACAAAATGAAAATACTTCTGTGCTGCTAACTAATGCATTTTGCATTATGCCAATATTTTCTGAGTCTCTTTTGTTGTTGGGTTGATCAATGCAGGATAAGTCTTCTTAAGACATGGAAAATATCATGGACGAAGATTAAAGAAAACGGCTCGAAGGTAGAGACTTACACATGTACCTACTCAACTGTTCCGGTTGAAGAATCATCTTGATTACATGATAAACTTGCTGTTTTTGTATTTCACAGAGGATTTTGCACATGTAGATAAATATGAAACAAAGTACACTAACAATGTTAACCGAAAAATGTTCTAACTATTAAAGGACTTTTCAAATTTATACAAATCTGATCCCGTTTCATTTGTGTGTTCAGTTCATCAATGGCTTGATTGACAATTACTCTGTTCTTACTATTTCACAACTTGTAACCGTCCTTAGCTGCCTTGCATGTTTATTTAAACTGCTCACACTTTCTTTCTTGCGTGGCAGTTGGCTTGTAACTGACTAAGCTTGTTGCTTCAGTTGAGCTTTAGTTGAGAGCTCAAGTGGGAAAGTTTTTTGCTAGTTTGTGAACTACCTCAATTGGATTCGGCTTTTAGTTTGGGCTTCATTTTTTTTGGCTTTCTATTTACAGCCCGTTTATTTATTGGGTTTTCCATTGTATCCCTCATATATGATATTTTATTATGTTATTATATATTAGCAAAATTTTAAGATATCAATTTTAAGGAATGTCGACACACAGAATTTGTGAAATTATGTTAGAATTCGATTAATAAATGTAATAAATATATTTTAAAATAAAGAATTTTAACACTGGGGCCCCAGCCGAGCTGGCCCACGAACATTAATCCTCGGGCTTGAAAAGTCAGGCTGAGGCTCGGCTGTTAATATTCCTTAGGTACCTCGGGTCGGATTGACCCAGTTTATTTGTACATCTTAGTGGGTGGAAAAAAACCGGAAAATCGAATCGGACCGAAAATCCGATTTTTTCGGTTTCAGTTCGGTTATTTAAAAAACTAAATATCCGGTTCGATTTTTGGTAAAATTAATTCCGGTTACCCAGAACCGGTTTTGTAAACCGAATTTTTAAACAAATTATGCATTTTGGGGTTTTTGACTTTGCAATTTTGCAATTCCTAAGACCCTAACTCTCAGTCTCTCGCTCACTCTCCGTCCTCTCAGACTCTGTGTTCTCACGCATCAGCCACCGACTCTCTGTTCTCATGCGGTCACGACTCACGCCTCAGCCACACAAATTTCTCACGCCGCGTCGCCACCGATCTTTGCTCACGTCGCCGATCTTTGCTCACCAGACACCAGGCAGTTGCAGTCACCATTCTTCTTTCTTTTGCTCACCAGTCACTAGTCGACAGTCACCGAAAAGCTCACCAGTCACCGATCTTTTGCTCAACAGTCGACAATCACCAGTCGCAGTCACCATTCTTCTTCCTTCACCAAGTCACTGGCTCACTACAGTCGCGTCTCAGTAACTCTCACTCTCTCAGTTCTCACGCCTCAGCCATAGCCAGCCTCAGGTACAAATGTCTGAAACTTTTTGCTCTTAGTCACTGATTTTCTTTCTTCACCTATTTACGTCGTCATCTAAGTACGTTTACAAATGTGCTTAGCAGCCTGCATTAATCTTTATTATCTTATCACCACTTAATGTATAGTTATTGTTTTAGTTATATATTTTTTCTCTTCCGTTGTTTTCTACAGCTGGCATAATCTGATTAGAGAGTTGATTGAAGTCTAAAGGTGTCATTATTTGTATTGTAGGGAAATAAATGATCTCCCAAGAGTTGTAATTTTTATTTTCTGGAATTCTATTTCTTTGAACCCTGTAAAACTTAAAGATTCCTACATATATTTTGTGGCAGTGAATGATTGTTTACATGGATTTTAAAGGAGCCATTACTTCTTTGTTAATGCTTCTTTATATCTTTCACCATGTGATAACACTTTTTGCTGTTCTTATTTCCCAAGAATAGTTGAAATATTACTAAAAATTAAGCTTTAATAGTTTGCTGAATGTGTCAAATGTACTCTTTAGAAAGTAGACCAAATTTAATTATATATGCTACGTTATTATTAACATATACAGGCTTGAACAAAATTTTATATTTTAAATTCCATTAATTGTCAGCATTTTTCTGAAATCATGGTCTTTGATAGATGTTTTGCAGCTACCATTCAATAAAAAGACCTTAGTTTATATACATGCATTTGGAATTCAACTAATAGAAGGTGGACCAATTCTGCATAAATATCACAAGCATTTTATTTTCTTTTGCAGTTTTAAGCAATCAAATGGTGTAATAAAAAACTGCAGTTTTTGAAAATGTTGAAGGATCTAAAATCCTTGCAATCATTCCCCTGGGTTTGGTTTTATCAGATTGTTTGGACAGTGACAAAATGGAGAGTAAATACAAAAATAAGATAAATTTAGTTAATATTTCTATTAATATAACTTTAATTCAAGTTAAAAAAAAAAAAAAACCTGGAAAAGAAAAAAGGATCAAAGTGGAGGGCTTAACCGAATTGGGCTGAACAAATCCAAACAAATTTTTTTTTGAAACCGAAAATCGGCAAGATACCGGTTAACCGGTTTTTTCCACCCCTATCTTACATGCAAATGCTACCATATGTTTTTGGTGATGTGGATACCTGTCCACAACAACTAAAAGATTTATCATAATTGTTAAACATGAGAAGCCAGTGAAACTTGGAACATTCCAGCAGGAGACTCGGTCATTGCATGAGAGAATCTCCTTATTCCCTAGCTCGGCTGCGGCTTCTGATTAATGTAATTATGTAAAGACGCCAAGTAGAGACATACCATTAAGGCCCTGGGGCTCATGACCCCGCTGAACTTCTAACATCTTTACAATTTCCTTTCCTTCCCTTTTTTATTTTATTTTATTGTAAAAAATTTTGTGTTAGTTCCTTTTTGTAAGCATCTGTTGGTTTCGAAATGCGACCTTGACTCCTATGTGTTTGGTTTTTTTAGTGAGTATTGGCTAGTTTTGGAAATGTTATCAATTCAATCTTCAAATTTGTCATTAGTCTCATCAATTTAACTTCTAAAAATTTATTAACCTTTCAACATTTTTGACAAAATTTGGATGTTAAATTGATTATATTTAAGGGAATAGTAAAATGTTGTTTTCTCACAAACTTAAATAGAATAACCTAACAATAAGTAATAAATGGAGGAAAGGGTTACATTTTCGAAACCATCGAGTACTCACTACAAAAAATGTCAAAGACACGTGGGTTAGGTAACTAGTTTTGAAACCAATGGGTATTTACTATAAAAAAAAGCTAAGCACAGGGGGTGTTAAGCCCTAAAAATTTGAACTGTTCATTTCTAAAATAATTTATTTTAATTTTTTTTTTTTATAACTTTTTTCAAATAAATTAACATTATCTCAATGTTTAATATGGTTAAGAACTTAAGATAGTCAAAATTAATTATGATAACTTGATAAGTACTTGATAATAACGTAAATTTGTGTTTCAATTTGTTGGTCCTGGGGAATCAAAATTGGAAACACTACAAGTAACTAAATCCAAAACCCTAGTTGTTCTGTGGATTCTTTATTATTCTACAAATTAAACCTAGTTGTTATGTCAATTCTTCGTTAATGCACAAATTAATTGTCGCTGTTCTGTCCATTTTTGATTAATCCACAGATTAGTACGTGTTGGGGACCAATTAATAACCAATTAAACTTTGTTCCAATTATTTAACTAGGCCGTTGATGTAAATTTAATTAACGAAGTTCAATCTCAATCAAAGCTATAATTAGGTACTTGGTTTGATCAAGCAGGCGGGGACCAAACAATTTATACGTATAGGCTGATGTAACCTCCTGAAATTTATTGTTATACATTTATTTTAACAAAATTATCTATTTTAATTCTAATGAAATCGAATTTTATAAACATGGTCCCTAATTCAAATAAAATCAAATTTTATTATTATACATTTATTTTAATAAAATTATCTCGCCAGCCCAGGAGGAGATGATGAATAGTAGATAATGCATAGATATTAAGATCTGTATCATGATAAATCTATATAGTGAGATATTATGATTATTTTATCATTATATGCAAATGAGTACGTCTGGGATAGTTTTACTATATGGTTTTTGAATTGAGCAAATTTTGAGTTTCAAGTGCTGATGTCATTTTAGATTTCAAGATCCTTTCAGATGATACTCTGCTATACAACTGTAGGCATTAACCTTAACTACTGGCTTACAGAAATTTCATGAAATGAAAATATGAGATGCATTTCTTTTTTGGCAAGAATGACATGAAAATCGTATTTTAGATTTTAAAGATACTTCACAAAATGAAAATACTTCTGTGCTGCTAACTAATGCATTTTGCATTATGCCAATATTTTCTGAGTCTCTTTTGTTGTTGGGTTGATCAATGCAGGATAAGTCTTCTTAAGACATGGAAAATATCATGGACGAAGATTAAAGAAAACGGCTCGAAGGTAGAGACTTACACATGTACCTACTCAACTGTTCCGGTTGAAGAATCATCTTGATTACATGATAAACTTGCTGTTTTTGTATTTCACAGAGGATTTTGCACATGTAGATAAATATGAAACAAAGTACACTAACAATGTTAACCGAAAAATGTTCTAACTATTAAAGGACTTTTCAAATTTATACAAATCTGATCCCGTTTCATTTGTGTGTTCAGTTCATCAATGGCTTGATTGACAATTACTCTGTTCTTACTATTTCACAACTTGTAACCGTCCTTAGCTGCCTTGCATGTTTATTTAAACTGCTCACACTTTCTTTCTTGCGTGGCAGTTGGCTTGTAACTGACTAAGCTTGTTGCTTCAGTTGAGCTTTAGTTGAGAGCTCAAGTGGGAAAGTTTTTTGCTAGTTTGTGAACTACCTCAATTGGATTCGGCTTTTAGTTTGGGCTTCATTTTTTTTGGCTTTCTATTTACAGCCCGTTTATTTATTGGGTTTTCCATTGTATCCCTCATATATGATATTTTATTATGTTATTATATATTAGCAAAATTTTAAGATATCAATTTTAAGGAATGTCGACACACAGAATTTGTGAAATTATGTTAGAATTCGATTAATAAATGTAATAAATATATTTTAAAATAAAGAATTTTAACACTGGGGCCCCAGCCGAGCTGGCCCACGAACATTAATCCTCGGGCTTGAAAAGTCAGGCTGAGGCTCGGCTGTTAATATTCCTTAGGTACCTCGGGTCGGATTGACCCAGTTTATTTGTACATCTTAGTGGGTGGAAAAAAACCGGAAAATCGAATCGGACCGAAAATCCGATTTTTTCGGTTTCAG